CCCCCCCCCCCGTCCTGCCCATGCTCCTCGGGGCTCCTCGGGGGGCTACCCTGGCCTCCTTCAGGGCCTCTGCCCCTGCCTTCCGCGCCTCCCCCGGGTGGCTGCACTGCCTGTGGACCTACTTCGTTCCCCATGCCAGTCCTCTCTCCTCCCGCCGCAACCAAGCCTTTTGCCGAACGCCAGTCTCCATCCCGGAGCTGCTGAATCGCGTGACGACTGGCGCGCAAAGTAGCCCGAGCCGCTGGCGTGAGAGGGCGACAGGCACCAAAATCGGTGACTTTCACGTGTCCCGATTCGGTGATCACCACGTTCTCCGGCTTCAAATCACCGTAGACAAAGCCGGCCTCATGCACGGAGCACAGGGCGGCCACCACCTCCCCTGCCACGAAACGCACCGAGTCCTCGTCCAGGGAGCCGCGGGCGACTAAGTAGGAGTGCAAGTCACCTTTACTCGCGTACTCCAAGACCAGATACACGCCGTCGCGCCATCGGAAGGAAGAAACCATCCGAGCAATCCCGGGGTGGGACAAGAGGCGCAAGACCGCGATTTCTCGGTTCACACATGCTTCATACCCCAGCTCGACCAGGCGCGCGGTGTCAATGACTTTCACGGCGAACTCCGCCCAGTCGCTCCTCGTCTTGTCCTTGGTCACGTGCCGGGCGTACCGCACCGTGCTAAAGGCACCCGATCCCAAGTCATGGCCGAAAACCAGGTCGTGGAACCGCATCTCTGGGAGCAACGTGGGCGTGGGCTCCAACTGCAGCTTGTACCAGGCTTGCCCCTCCGAGGAAGAGGCCGGTCGGAACTCCTCCATAAAGCCCAGCACACGCTCGAGGCCCTCCCTCCCGCCTTCGAGGGCGGCGTGGATTGTCGAGCCCCGTGCAGTGGACCCGTCTGGATCTATCGGCTTGCTGCGCGTGTTCGTGGTGGCCTGCGAAGTCCTAGGGCCCCCCCCCTCTGACGCAAGCCTTCCTCCCCGCCCCATTCCTACCTCCCCCTCCACCTCCCTCAACCCATCTTCTGCCTCTCCTTCCTCCTCTTCCAAAACTGCGTCAATTTGCCCCCGTCTTCCGTCAGACTCTTCCATCGGCTGCGACAGGGGGCTGTCGGACTGGCTGCTCCACGGGGGGGGCAAGCTGGTCCGAGGGGGTGGCTGTGCCGACAATCTTCGTTGGCCCATATTCCTGCTCTTGCCGCCGCCCTCGACCGTCCTCCCAGGCCCGAGGTACCCGACATTGGAGTCCATCGCCCAGGGAGCCACGCCTGTGACGACCACCGGAGGCTGCGGCTGCTGTTGACGCCCCCAATGCTCCAGACGCCCCCGCAGTCGATCAGAGGGCACGCCCTCGCGCTTGGTCCAGGGCGCCATTCCCGTGATAGTCACCGGGGGCTGCCGCCGCTGTCCTCCAGGGACGGTGGCAGATGTGCGACGTGGAGGTTTCCATCCTGCTGCGTCTTGCGCGTACAGGGAGGCCGGGGCGCGGGGCGGAGGAGGCATGTGTGCGCTGGACGACACTGCGGGAGTCGCTTTCTTCCCTACTCCCTCGCCTTTGTCCCGCCCGTCGTCCTCTCGTCTCCTCCTACTACCCTCTCTGCTTGCCACCTCCGCGAACACGTCCCCGTCGGCCTCTTGGAATGTCTTTAAGACCAAGACCCTCATCTTGTTCACTGTCACGTTCCAGTGTTTCTCGCCGTCGCGGTACACGCTCCGGAACAATGCGCGGATCACTTGAGAGGCAAATCGCATAGTAAAGCCAACCATCGCCTCATCCTTCCAGAGAATCAGTGCCTTTTCCACACAACGGCTGTGATCGGAGGCGAGGCAGTGCGATAAGCGTGGGAGCAGAAGGGGAAGGGCCTCGGCGAAGTCGTGATCGGAGAAATAATGGAGGAGGGCGCCCAATTCGTGCAGGCAAAGAACTTCCTTGGCCGAATTGCTCTCAAATTTCTCCGGCCAGCTTTTCAAGAGCTGCCTTAAGATGGGAAGGGCGAAAGACCCGCGGTCTCTCTCCAGATACTGTGTGAGGCAGAAAACGAGCGGCTCGTGATAGAGCTGGATGACGGGGAGCTGGTCCCGCCATTCGTACATGTCGTTGTTTTCGTGGAGGGGGAGGAGAAGGGACACAAATAAGCGGCGATGAATGCTGGTGAGAGGAGAGGCAAAGCCCTTGATGACGTGGCCGAGGACCTCCAGCACCGGCGCCACGGCCATCGTTTTCTTCCCGGTGTGAATGAAGGCGGCCAGAAAGCGTGCGAGCAGTGCACGAAGCAACGGCCGGAATTTCAAAGCATCTCGGTACAATAAATGCAAAAAATCGCGCAGGAAGGCGTGTTCCTTTTCGGGTGCTCCGTCAAAACGGGAGATGACGGAACGCAGGAGCTCAGGAGAGACTGCCTCCGAGGCAGTGTGGGAATTGTACTCTGGCATGGCCATCACGTAGGAGAGAAGGCCCTCTGTGATGCATACGACATCTGGTCGTCCATCTTTCCAGGCAGCACATAAGAGTTTAAAGAATAAGGCGTATGTTACAGAGTCAAACTCATCGGCAAAGTCTCGCAATTCATTGCTTGCCTGCAGACTCAAGAGCTGGTTGAAAGAGAGGGACTAAATGGTTGGGGAAGGGTGTGTGTGAAAAATTATTAATACAAAACAATGTCATGATGAAGGTTTCCAAACTTCGGTTTCATACTGTTGGGAAGTCATGATATTAGAGGTCCCGTCCGATATTTGTATTCTGTGGCTTAGAGTTCCTACCTCAAAGCCGAGGGTCATATCACAGGAATCACATGAAAGAATACGGCGCAATAGGGTCTGTGGACTAGCCACCTCATCTTCTTCCTCCTCTTCCATGTCCCGCGACCCATCCGCGTTCATAGTCCACAAGAGGGAAGTTGAGGCGACCTCCCGCGCAGGCGGGGAGGAGGTCGGGTGCATGACCATTTCTCATGTAGCTGGAAGGTCCTCTCTCGCAGCTTGGCGGAAACTTCTCCTTTCGACTCCTGTGATAATGATAAAGCACGACTCAAAAATAAATAAGTATTGCTTGCATAACTCTATGTATCCTGGAAAATAATGAGAAACGGAGAACTACCCATTCGCCGTCGGGAAGCCAACCTCCTGGCAATCTTCACTTTCGGGGCTTTTGGATGTAAAGTCACGACTCTTACATACTCAACATGCCAACATCACAGGCCATGGATACAGTACCCTCAGCAATAAGCCCTTCAGACAGTGTAGCCGCACCAGGAGATCGAATCGGCCGCATTTCATCTCATCAATCAGGGCCAGGTAGGTAAGCTTTCGGTACTGTCGTCGAATTTTTGTATTAGGCTAGCACGTTCAAATTACGAAAAGACATCAATCTTACACACATGGACACGCCTTAAGATTACCTGCACGAGACTGGAACGGCGTCTTTATTCATTGCGAGGAAAAAACTGCGGAAATGTGCTCTCATCTTTGAGTCTGCACAGATACTTTGTTCCAAAGCTCACAAACCCTTTCTCTCGATCTCTGTTGCAGGTACATATATTAAGGGTGGCCACATTTACGCAAGCATTTTGGGGAACATCCAGGTAAGGCGCGGTTGTTTGCCGGCATTGTTTGGTTCTCTGCTGGCAGGGAATGTCTAAGATTATTCATTGATTGCTTAATTTATGGAAGCAACCCCCTGAGTGGTCCATACTCTCTATTGATAAGCATATTTTTTCATCAAATCGGGACAGATTCTTCAGCCCGAAAAAGAGGGGGATCTACCCATGCTTCGGGTCAGCAACCCTTACAAAGCGGACGCCGACCACGCGGGCGCCCAGAACGTCGTTCTCGCTGTGGGTCATGTGGTAACGACGCGGGTCCTACGCATCACCAGCAAACAAGCCTACGTGGAAATCCTTGCTCTGGGCAGTGTCGTTCTCCGACAGACCTGTCAGGGCATCATCAAGAAAGAAGATGTGTCGGATCACGACATCGATCGCATCGAGATTCCTCGTTGCTTCCGACCTGGAGACATTGTGAGGGCGCGTGTGGTGTCGCTTGGCGATAGTCGGCAATACTACTTAAAGACGGCCGAGAGTGAGCTCGGAGTGGTGTATGCCAGAAGTCAGACGCAGCTGGAGGAGGGCGGGGCGGAGGGAGGGGGGAGAGTGATGGTGCCTGTGTCGTGGGAAGCCATGATGGACCCCTTGACTAAAGCAACAGAACCACGGAAGGTCGCCAAGCCTTCAGCAAAGACAGACTAGGCAGGAGAAGCACCGGGAAAGGGAGTGACATCGGACTGTTTCCTATAGTTGGTTATGACGCTGTAGATAGGGGAGGAGCCGGCTGAACAGGATTCAAGGGCCATAGGTTGCCCTTCAAAGTAATTTTGCAAAGAAGCCAAATTAACGATGAAGCGAAATAGGCCTGAGGTTGTAAAACACCTTTCTGATCGTTCTTATCGTCGCAACGACGGGCGCGCCCGATGTACACAACATCCTCAAGCGACGTGATCTATGCTCCGTCTGCCTAGTGTAACACACAAGTTGAGCAAGCAGTATGGTATGTACATCTTTCATGTCGTGGCTCTCTCCCGACTGGTTCTAGACCCCGCTACCCCTGCGAAATGGAGAGCTGGCCCCAAAGCGCCGCAAAAGGATTCTTGGCCGCAGAAGGGACCAAGGCCTTCCGCAACGTCACCTTGTTGATCCTAACGTTCTTTATGCTCATTCCACTTAATTCATATTTACGCCCCGTCGCATCCGTGTATAAATCGATGTAGCCCATGTCTCGGTACAGATTGCGGGCCTGCTGGTTGCTGTCTTCCACTTGCAGAATCAGCTCATCATAGCCCCAGGTTCGAACCATCTCCTCGCATGCGTGCACTAGCCGGCGACCGACACCTTGCCGACGCAAGGCTGGTCGCACCGATAGATTGGCCAGGTACGGTCGCTCATCGCGCACGGGCACGCCGTATTGCTCCATGCCGTATTTCAAGGATTGTGTGATTCCCACCTCTACAAATCCCACCATTGCCCCGTCTGCGTCCACCGCCTGCAGATATAGGGACCCTCCCACCGCACGACCTCCGAAGCGAGAGCGCAGGTCCGCGAATTGCTCGTCGAGGAGAGTGGCAAGTTGCATGGAGCGTACAGGGTTGAGGCGGTCGGCCGTGCCGAAAAAACTTTCAATGCACACCGATGCCGCTAGGCGTAAGTCTTGCCGAGAGACTTCTGATATTATGATCGATGTGGCGGGCGGAGACGGAACAGTGGTGGTGGTGGATCGCGGTGGACGCCTTCCAAAGAAGGAGTCAAGGCTTATGCTCGGCCTCGCCGTGTTGCTGCGGGATCTTAGGGTCGTCGTGGTCGCAATGGAGCTGATAGATGTCGGCGACGAAGGAATGAATGCAGACAAGGCAGCAGTCGACATAAAAGTGGCAAGGATCATGAAAAGGCCAATCGATGATCTGCACGGAGAGAGCATGATCCAAGGACCAAGGCCACGACCAAATTGTTCCGACTCGATCAAGACTTGGGACTGACGCGGCAGTTCTCGAATCCACCTGTTTACAAGAGGAAGATCAGATCGCTGCGCCCAACATTGAAAACCTAATCAGTCAATTGATCACCACAGCCCCAAATTGTTACTCGACTGCACACAGGAAGGACATCAAGGAAAATGAGCACGTCAAGCGTGCCGACGTGGTGCTGGGGCTCCGGCGCTCGCTCGGAAGTAGCGAGCGACAGCTGTCGTCTAGCGGGCGGCAAGAGCCTTGTGCACAAAGAGCCGCCCTTTTGTTTTTGTTTTTTGTTTTGTTTTGTTTTCCCTTCTTTTTTTCCTCAAGCCTCTCTCTTGCCACCCACCAACCAGAGAATTACCACGGCTCGTTGTAAAACCCGCGTAATGAATCGCTTGAATGGGCGGTTTCCCAGTCTTAAACCTCGTCTGATGGAGTATCCCAGAACTATGATAACAAAACCAAGAACGCTGATCAGGACCTGGTAAGGAGAGGAGGAAATCATCCGCCTCATGATCCTACCACCCTGGAGCACAAAAAGCGGCCGTGAAAGAATACATGAGTTCCCCGAGTTCGAATCCGGGCATGTTTCTCCGTCCTGTTCATGTTGCCAGCTCTGTCCCGCTTTACCTCCAGTTGCCCTGTGTGTGCTGGGACATCTGTCTCCTTCGTCACTAGTCCTGGTGCGATGAGAATCCTCTTGAAATGGCGAATTTTGTTGGTCAACGTCCTCCCGCTTAATCCCAAATGCATTCAGGACTCTGTCTGACAAGGACTGTGACCAGACATCCCCTGAGCTTGACTGTGGGGAGGACGGTGGGTTGCCCCTCTTGCACGAAGCCGGGAAAGTTGAGGGAGCCGGATGCGTCGAATGTTTCAAGCTTTGAGTCTCTCCTCTCTTTCCATTTCCACGGGCATTTTGGCGCATTAAGATCCGTTGCCTTTTGATAGCGGCTCGGCAGGCGTCTACAAGTGCCTGTGGATAGACCGATCAAAATTACACATTGCAGTACCAAGTCACACTCACGCAACCATAAAGCATTCGTTACAGTATCAATGCTATCCAAATGTACCTGTCGCACGCCGTCTTCCAGGTATGAATCCGACCGTACTCTTGTAAGTGCTGGTTCCGCATGTCCTGATTCCAGCATGATCTTCAATATCAGCAGCTCCATCACTTGATTGTACATGCTCAGTACTGCTACTAGACGCTTCTTTACCCCTTCACTATTTTTAGCCATCGATGATGCTTTCTCTTGCTCTCCTGGTGCGTAAAGGTGCTTTCGAACTCCCTCGAATATATCGGCTTCATCCTCACCTTCGAGAGGATGCGAAAATTCCGATACTTTAGATGGCGACTTCGTTCCATTGATACCGTTGGGCAGCATTAAATGTATTTCAGTGTGTAACGCTGCAAGCAATTGCGTTACCGCTCGTCGCACCGCCTCATTCCAGAAGCGGCCCTTCGTCAGACAAACTCGAAGCCTGTAGAGAAGACATGAGCGGGACATTTATGTAAACAGTGAGTGAGGTGGTTTAAAACAAGCATTAAATAGCATTTCTACAGATAACGACGGCTCTTTTTTCGTACAGAAACAAAAATCTAGGGATAATCCGGCGCAGACGACAATTGAATCCTGGTGGTCCCTGCTTATGCGACATTTGCGTTTCTCCCAAGAAACACGATATCAAACGCACCAAATGAGAGCAACAGGGAGAGGAATATTTTTTTGAGTAGTGTAGTGCTTGATGAAGAGGCCTTCCTGCTCTTCTTCCTTGAGCTCAAAGGCGCATTGCAGAAGGATGGCTGCCAACTTGTCAGTCCTGTGAGGGTTAACATGACTATTTAATATATTTGATTCACTATCGCATATCCACAATACTTGTGGATTCTTAACAAAGCATGGCAACTAGTATAAAACGTTGTGCAAGGAATGCACACAAACGACTGCGGACAATCAGTTCGCTTTCCGCAGTCTCGCTTTCCCCCGGGAAGTCTTGCCTTCGACAATGCTCCTCAAGTCTAATAAGTATGCGTCGCTCATCCGTACGCCCATCGCCTTCCCAGTTCCACGGCGCGCAAGGTAGAAAAGTACTTTCATCCCTTGCATTCATCGAAAAAGGACTATCCTCTTTCCGGTCGAGCTGCTCTTTCCCCTGAGAAGCAAGTTCTGCGGCGGCCAAACGCGCTGCGTCCCCAAAGCGACACGACGCAAAGGCTTCGAACGCCCCATCGTCCATGCCCGGCAGCCACGCTCTCAGACGTTAAGATTCGTGTGACTGTAAATAAAATGTATTCTCGATTAGGAAGAGGTGGCGATACACGGTTCTCGATCCTGCGTTTGACGTATCATCGCTTGTTGTGTTGAACATGGCTGAGTGCTGGGGGGTTTCCTAGCTATCAAGTTAAAAATTTACCAACTCCAACAAATTGAAGCCTTACCTTTCATTTTTTTTGCACAATGTTCTCTCCAGAATTGAGAAACTATTCACGCCGTAACTATTCAGGTAGCTATGGAGCCATCGCTGGCGTCAGGCCCCCATCGCAGACGCCGTGACGGCATAGTGCCGCATTTTTTTGGGTGCCTCGTTCTCTTCTTTACCATTTGTGCATCAAATGTACTCTGTTTTCGTGTGAAACCTTGTATTGCGCGGGATACCAGTCGAGATGTTCGACGAGCATGCAGGCGACCGACCCCCTCAAGAGGAGGTGGTGAAGATGTGGATAGGATGGACGCATTAAAAACAGCTGGAATGGTCGCTACTGCAGGAGGACTAGCCATCGGTGGTCTACCCAATCTGGTCGAGGCTAAAAAGATTATAAATTTGGAAGAAGCTCGGGAGCTGGGGGAAAAGAAAATGATAGATATTGAAAAAGCGAAGGGGCCCTTGATCAAGGTAATGACTAGGTTCCCTTCAAATTATGATAGAGGTCGACAATTATCTCTCTTATAAGCTGGCTTTGAGCCAGTTTTTTATGGGTATAGAACATGATGAGCTTCACCAGCATCGCTGGGCTCCTTTCGTGGCATTCCTGTTAGCCGCCTATTATCCGTAACTTCTCCTTCCTTTTCCCATGTCACATTTCTCAGGTGCGGGACAACGTCAAATATCGGGAAGAACTCATCGGTAAGGGCGACATTTTCAAAGCGGGGGACCTGGTCAAGATCCGCTACCAAGTGTACAAGGGCAACGGAGACTACATGTTCAGCACGGGGTACGGCCGCGAGTTCCAGAACGACGTAGGCGGTAGGTCTCCCATGGAATGCTGGGTCGACATGGGCCACCAAGGGACGTGGGCGCCACATACCATACCGCGGGCGTGAAAGGCGTGTGGATGGAGGAATGGAGACAAGGGGGGGCGCAATCTCCTCGGCTCGTTGCACGCGACCGTCTGAGTGTCGTGCTGACGTGATCATTTTCCCGTCCTTCAATCCTCCTCCCGCTCATTCGTCCCACTCCCGCCTGTTCCCACCCCCAGACACCTACGATTTCACTTTTGGTCGGCCCAACTCCATCCCTAAAGGCGCCGAGATCGGTATGGAGGGCATGCGCGTGGGCGGCAAACGCAAGATCTCCGTCCCTCCCGAGCTAGGATGGCAGACATCTGGCGGTTTCCCGGAACCCCAAACCTTCGGGGGAAAAAGAAAATTGCTGAATCACATGAACGAGTTCTTGCAGTTCGAGGTGGAGGTGATCCGTGTTCGGCCAAAGAAGACGTGAAGAGGGATGGAAAGTCCGTCTGGAGCGTAATTTGGCAGCTTTACGGGGGCACGCACATCTATGTTTTCGAACGAAGGATTGCAAATCAGGTAGCGATAAGTTAGTGAATTGACAAAGAATTACTGACGAGTAATGAGAAACGCGTGACGCCTGTTGACGTGATGTGCCTCACACCGCAAAATAAGCTTTAGGTCCTGGCATCTATCTCTATGTACATTCTTTGCTTCCTCACTCAACAGACAAGATTATTGCGTCTTCCGCGTACCTCCTCTTTATTCCTGATTTAGGGCCGCCGAAATCCTCGACCAACTCTCTTTCTCTTTTTCCAAGCGCCTTCTTCTTCCCCTGGCCGTCTCGCAACGCTCCCCTTTCTTGGAAAGGACAAATCCCTCCCGGGCCGCCGCCCTCCCTTCGTGCACTCGTCGCTCGACCTCCTCCACTTTCCGTTGCGCCCGACTTTTCCCATCGCGGGCTCGGGCTGCCTGCCCCGCGTCGTGGCTTGGGAAATGCGTCACGCGTGCAGGAGGAAGCGGCTGGTGCCCTAGGCATGTCCGATCAAGTTTCAGAATCGATTTGACCGGCTGCACGGACCCCTGAGCATGTTTGCCCAGTCCCGTGTCCTCCTTCCACCCCAGACGGGCCAATAATTGCACGCCGCGATTGCTTTCTGGAAGCATGATACGACGGCAAGAAACTCTTTTCTTGGCGTTGAATGTGTGAAGGGTACTTCGTTCGTGTGTAGCACGGTCGGTGGAGGTCACCCGTTCGCCACACACCAGGCAGTCGAAGGCGGAAATGGTGGCGTGGCCAGATGTCTCCTTCTCGGAGTCGTCCTCATCTACGATAAAAATGACGGGGCTGCTCGCGCTTGCGGAGATCAAAGTTACGCAAGGTTCCACGGCTTTTCGTTCACTAAGCACCATTTTGTAGTAGGGCCTCTCATTTTCTTCAATGCGGTCATTTTGGTCCCCCGTCAGTGATGAAGCCGCTGTCGCACTCGAGCCCAAGGGCGTTCGCTGGGGTCGTTCGCAGGGCCTTCTTCGCCGCTTCCGCGTCGGGAGTATGCTAATATCGTTATCATTTAATATACTGACGTCGGGCTCTTCACCTGGCCGTGCTATCAGCTCCGCGTACAAAGTTGACGGGCACACGTCGTCTGATGCCGGGCCCGGAGCAGGATGACGATCGTTGTCATGATTGAAATCCTCATCAACGTCCTGCGGGTCTGCATACCGGGTTTTACCGCGCACAAAGCTAATCATTGGAATGGCTCGGTGCGGTTGAAAGGAGGTATATTTAGATGTCTGTGGTCCATAATGGCCGCACTCGGACGCGCAATTCTGGTCCCACACCTCCTCTTCTTGGGCGCCAATTCTCCCTGTACCACCTTTACAGTAGCCTTCCGACAACCAGTCTCTTTCAAGTTCCATTTTCATGCGTCATTTACCTGATGTAAGGAAAGCAGGTAAGATACAGTGTTTGTAAAAATGTAAGGCCGCAATAGGGAATGGAAGGAGGTAATGAAAATTGCGCGAACACGTCTTGCAACGTGCGTGGCTCGAGGTTTTCAGGCCCATTTACTGGACTCTTTCATATCCTTTTCAGTAGTTGACGTCCCGAAGGGGCGTTCGATCACTCCCAGTTCCAAATTAAGTAATTGTGACGGATAAGCTTTATCACAGGAATGGTGTGTTACGTTTATAGGAATGCCTTAAACACTGCTCGGGATATGTTCCCTCGAGTCTGCACGCAGGGACTTCGTTCGTCGATGCAAAGCATGCCTTACTCCTTGTGTCTCACTTATTTTATCCTTCGATCCCTTCCGAAGAAATGGCACAGAAGACACTATTTTATGCAACAGGCATCCTTTTTTGGGCTACCAGCAGTACGGCTGCTTTAAATTCCATGGCTTCTGCAGGAGGTGCCGTACCCGCCCAGACATTGGCCCTGCTTGGTCAGTTGACCCTTGCTTCTGTGGCGCTCTCAGCCACGACTGAAGACGTGCATGCACAAATGGCACCTGCTTCGCAGGATGATTGCAACTCGTTCATGACATTGTTGTTGGGACCTCTGACCACAGAATGTGCAGAGCTGGCTCGAGATCTTCAAACAGTAGCCACAACCAGCACGGACTGCAAGCGCGTTTACGATTTTTCAAAGCCCAAATTGGACGGTATGTGCTCTAACAAATGTTATCCAACTATGGTGCGTGCTTTGGACGGTATGGCAAAAGCTGGCTGTTCTGCTGACGGTGTCACGAAGATGATGTGCGACCAATGCGAGGAGGGCACGGCCTGTGTCGAGGGCGTGTGCCGGCCACTGTGTTCGGCCACGAAGCCGTGCGCTTGCAACGATGAGTGTGTGAATGGATCATGCCAGTCGTCGGACCAAGGTGGCTTGCAGCGCACGGATATGGGCACATTTGGGTACAAAATATCGCTGGAGCACTTGTGCCTGAAGGCCCCCCTGGCGCTTCCAGACACGGACGCCCCAGATGCCAGCACGGCTGCAAAGGAGCAGCAGATGGCGTTGGCCAAGGAGGACTACTGCTTTTCAAGCGTGTTCAATGCCTTGGAAGGATTGACACCCGATGTCTGCGATAAGCTGGCCGCCACGGGATGTTGCGCCGGGACAGTAATGCAATACGGAGTGACATGTGGGCTGGCGAACGATACGGTGAAACTCAACGGGGGGGCACCCATGCAACTGACTGCTTTGGCCAATTTCTGCCCCGATGTGGACTTTAAAACCAAATGCAGCAATGCTCCTGCGTACGCGGACGGCATGTGTAAGGTCGGGTACGTGGACGGCCCGGGGACCGAACTGCCCTTCCCAAGCCTGGCAAGCTTCGCCCGTGGAAGTTTTGACATGGCGGGGCTTTATGCCCTGGCTGGGGGTATCTCTTTCATGTGCCTCCTTTTGTTGACGGTGTCGATTCTCCAGAAACGAGGGCACGTCCGGGGTCAAGCCGAGGCGGCGGACGCGGCAGATGCGGGGAAGACGAATGTCTCCTCACCCGCGGTTTCACCCGTAGCCTCCCCCATCGACAAGATATAGATTTCGGCAACGGGCACATGGACAGTAGAATTCACCGGTGATGATGTGATATAATGCAATCATAGTAAATTCAAAAGTTTGATGTAATTGAACGTTGATGGCCGTATGTAGAAGCTAGTGGTTGAATCCTCGTGGACTTCGTGAGGAACTAAGAACACACCAGTGGGTGTAAGCGACCTCTCTGCAGGAGCGCGAAAAACAAAAGACAAAGATGTGTCAAGGCACCCAATTTCTATCTTTTCTCTAGTCAATGGTTCATCGCACACATCGCCATCCATTTAATTGCGACCATAGTACAAACTGTAAAATATGAGCCTCGATATCTGTACAAATCCAGGTATCCGCTTCTTTGACGGGGCAAGCCCTGTCGACCCCGTCCTCGCGAGGTTCACAGCTCTCCTTTCAACAGCCTTTGTCTCTCCTTTCATTCAGACTCAGCGGTCCCTAGGACCGGAGGAAGCAGCTTGGTTCTGAGGCGGAAGTCGTGCGCCCATACGTTGAGGATCCATAGAGGGATAATACGGCTGTTGGGATCATGTAAGGCATGTAAAAGCGAACGAGACGGAAAGTTGTGACAAGAAATTTCTCAAATATGCCATACGAAGAGCAGCAGCTCTACGCGTCCAACATTCTGTCGAGAGAGGATCAGCCCATCTAGTAGTTCGAGATATCTGAAGATTACTACACGGTTTTGTTAAGCCGACTAAAAGCTTGTTTCAGAGTAGCTGGTTATGAATCATCACATCCTCCTTCCCAGACCCGCACGGCCAAGACATTCCTTCCCTCTTCGCCTTCCCCAAATGCCTACCTGCTGCGGAGGAGGCAGAGAGGGGGGACCTCGCACGCCACCTTGCCCTGGGTGAGGCCCGGGTGGCGGATAGCCACCAGGAGGGGGAAGCGTGTTGCTCCCGGGTACCCAAGAAGAGGGCGAGGGTCCAGGCGGGAAATTCAGAGGCTGAGGCGGTGGCAAAGGAAGGGACTGCCCTGCCATCGTGCTGACAGGTTGATTTGCGAAGTCCGGTGGGGCGCCAAGGGGGCCCGCGCCGCCCGCACTGGCGAAGCTCCCCGTGCCAGTGCCTGGATTGAAGGGGCCAGAGCCCGCCTGTCGAAGGGCCCAGGACACACGCAAACGTAGCCCTTGCAACGTAAGGTTGTTGTGCAGGGCCTTTGCCGCCGCCTCCGCCGCCTCCCGGGTGGTGTACTCGACAAAGGCAAGGTGCTTGGCCGGGACCATGCGGACGCCGGCCACCTCTCCAAAGCCGTAAAAAGCTTCGCGCATCTCCGTCTCCGTGACCGCCCCCCCCTCCATCCCCCCGACCATCAGCGTCTTGATCTCGGGGTCCGTGGGCGGGATCAGGGGTGCCTGGTCCTCTTTCTCCTTCGATGCCGCCCGGCCCAACATTTTCTGGGCCACGGGGTCGTCCTGCCCGTAGAAGCGGTCTTTGATGTTCTGGTTGGCCAGGGGATCACTGCGGGACGTGGGCATCTCATGCCTGCAAAGAAGAGGGAAAAAGGAAGAAGCATCAAATGGAGGCCTTTGTAGGTACAGACTGCTGGTACGGTCGGATGATCCCGGGCGAAGAGAAAGGAAAGGGCTGGGAAATGGCGCGAATGACGACAGGCTCAGAGAGTATGGTCGCGTTTCAATCCCCACCCGGGGCACGAATCCCCCGTACGGAGCACGGGGCACACAAAGGAGGACGACCCCAGCGAATCGCCAGCCTGCTCCATCCCTTGAAAAGGGGATGAAGACTGGTAGGGACTCGAGCCGAAGACGCCCCCGACCCCACGCCGAGATGAAAGAAGTGTAATCATGGCCGTGCCGCCACAATGGCTGCGTAAAGAGAAGGCGAGTGCCTCGGGGATCGAATCCAGTGAATCACATCCAGGACTACGGGATAAGACACTCGTGTGCACGACACGTCTCGCCTGAGGAGTTCTGGCTTCCCCTGCCATCTTCCATCTTCAAAAGACTTTGCCCCTTTCCCTTCCCCCCCACAATGCACACGCACACACAAAAGGGCTGTCCCTTTGGCTTAAGCTCGGCTATCATCTATAGTACTTACAAAAATGGACAACGGTCCCCACGTGTGCACTCTCCCTTGGCATAGAACGTGCATTTGTGCGGCAAATTTCGCTTGTAGTATGGTTGGGCTCGAGACAACCGCATGAGTTTTTCGTTGATTTGAGCCTTGCCGTACGAATCAGCATGGCCTTCTGCAACCATTCTATCGTGTTGACCGGCAAACCATTGCTTGTTTGTGTCACTTTGCGGGACTGTCATCGCATATGATGCTGCTCCTCCCTCCCCAGCGGCCGCTGCTTCCGCCAAGACAGAGTCCCGTACTTGAACGGGCAAGCCGTAAGTCAAATCCAGAACACAAGTTTGGCAGACGTTCTTCATTTTCGCACAAGTTTGGCACACCTCCGTCTTCTTGAAGCGGGCCTTGGCCCCCGGGCGCCACCGAAAAATGGTGAATGGCCTGTCACATATCTTGCAAGCCTTGCCCGCAGGTTCCTTGGTCATGCGGACGTAGGGATTGTCCCCCAGACACGTCTCGCATACCAAAGGGAAGTCACTCGATTCCCATCCTTCCTTATTCAAATCCGCCTTTATTTGCATGCCTCGTTCCCCCATGGTCGCCCGCCTGTCTCGTCAAAGGGATGCACGCCGGGGTGAGGTAGTCCTGATACTGCTCCTATGAATGAAGACAGCAATTCCCTCGCAAGGTCTCGAGCGACACCGCGCCGGCATCCTCGAGCACATCACAACCATATCAATCCAACGCCCGTGACGTGGCCTACAGGCCCCAATGGTCATAACGTGGCGCGGGCGGAGGCAGGAGAGCACACGGAAGGCGGCTGCCATCCGTCGCGCCTCGCCGTCAAGTTGATATTTCCCTAGCGGAGCTTGTTTCGAGAAAGCCCTGCGAGGCGCACGCGCTTGATGTTATAACCAAGGATAATAGGGAGATCTTCGCTTGATTGACTTCCCTGACTTGCCAACTCTTCCACATTTACGTGCATTTTTTGACAGATTTAGAGTTTTGCTCCATAATGCGTCGGATTCCGAAAGCCGCAACAGCAGTATCGTGCTGCCTAGTAGCCTTGTGGTCCTACCCGACCATGGCTTGGACTTATCTTGCACCGCGCTCTACAATCGGTTCCAGCTGTGCTTCCAATGATGCCATGTGCAGAGCCTTCTCCCAGGGGACAGTGGTATCGGCCAGCAGCAGTCATTTGATCGATTCAAGCTCATTCAGGATGCGGGCAACCGCATCATCCCCGTTAGGGACGACAGTCCGCTCGACGATCAATCAAAAAAGCGAACAATGTAAGTATGCCTGCACTTCGTTATGTAATTGTGCTACGCGGAAACGCGCGGTATTGCGTCCAAGTCGTCGGACGCGGCTGTGGGCAACAGCACAGGATGCGGAGGAAGAGGGCTCGGAGGAGGGGAAGAAGCGAGGGGACGAGACTGAAGATGTGGCCGCCGAGGAAGGAGAAGGAGTGGAAGCCACTGAACAAAGTGAGGAGGAGGAGGCCGAAGAGCTCTCCCCGGAGGACCAAGCTAAGGCCGCTTTGCGGGCGGAGTTGAAGGAGTTGGAGAAGGAGTTAGCCAAGAAGCGGAATGAGCTGACAGAGGCCCAAGACCGGCTTAAAACTGTGGGGAAAGAGGGTTTTATGCGTCTTGCGGCCGAGGTTGAGACATACAAACGCCGACGAGCGGACGGATTGACCTACGTGCGGGAGGAAGCTGCGCAAGAAACCATGAAGCAGCTGCTGCCGGTCTTCGACCTGATGGAGGAGCTGGAGGAGAGGTATGCGGACGTTACCAGCGAGGCCTCTTTGAAGGTGCTGAATGGGTACAAGAACCTCCTGCAGGTCTTTGTGGGCAAGGCTGAGAGGCTGGGTGTCAAGGTCTTGGAGATCGGTAAGCTTCGAGACGGACGGCGTGGAGGGAGGGAGGGAAGGAGGGTCGGAGGACGCACGATATTTCTTTCTTGACCGCCTTTGGCCTATCTTGGGCGACGAAAAAGGAAACTTACATTTAAGGACCGATGGGGCAAGGTGTCGATGAGGAACAGGATTAATGATGCATGTATTGTCCAAGACTACGGTCATGCGGAAAAGATCACCTTGGAGAACTGAGACACCCCCAAAGCGCCCTCTCCTCCTCTACCTCCCTCCTTTTCTCTCCTCCCCATCCTTTTTAATGTAACCTTCCTTCCTATCCATCCTTACAGCGGCAGGTGATGCATATGACGAGGAGAGCATGGAGGTGGGGGAGGTTGTGGTCGGGGAGGCGGACGGGGTGGTCGTGGAAGTGGAGCAGAAAGGGTATCAGATCGGAGAGCGGGTGGCGCGACGGGCCAGGGTGAAGGTGAGTGCCACGGAGGCCACGCTACAGAAGGCGAAGGAGGAGGAGAAGGAGGAAGAGGGAGACAGCGAGGCGAAGGAGGACTCTGGCCAGGAGTAGGGGGCAGCGGACGGCTTGAGCCTTGCGTGGCGAGGAGGAGAGGCGTGAGGCGATATCAAAGAGGGAGGCATGAGGAAATATGATGAGAGAGGAGCGGGGAGTATCGCGCTTGTTGCTTATGGTCAGGGCATCCAAGACTCCGGTAGAAATGAATAACCGCTTTTAAGCTTGCCATCGTCCACTGTTTTGAACTGTTTGCTTTTTTGTTCTTTGTCGGACATATGCATCTCGCAAACATCAAAGGAACGATTTTTTCTACTTCCTAGATTTGCATGCTGCAAAACTCTCCTCTTTTATGCGCGGGGTGCTTATATTATCCCTCCGGAGTATTTAGTGTTCATATGCTTATGTCTCCTCTTTGCACCCAGGTAACGTCAGACCGAGGTTGTACGAGCACTATGCATCCCAATCCTAGACAGAAGAAGACATCGTGCAGCAATGCCTCACCTTCTATTCAAAAGTAGCAATCGATCGTGATCGTCGGAGGTAGCTCGAGGAGGAGGATGGAATGAAAAAATAACGAAACGGTCTTGACGAGTGAAGGCGCGTTACTGCTCCGTGGGTTCAAAGTCCAAGCATCTCTCATGTCTTAATGTCACGGGCATCTACCATATGAGAAGAGATTTATATGGACCAAAGCCTCAAAGGTCCCAGCGCCTGCCACGCCTGCCATAAACAAAAAATATCCGATCAATGGATCCGATGACCGAGAAATACGCATCTACTCTACATAGCCTTTACAGGGGCAGATATTTGGCGACCACGGGGGGAGGAGGGCCGCTGTTGTTGCATCGGACTCCCACCCCCGGGACGAGGTGGGACGGATGGCTTGTTCCTTTTTAAGCCCAGCCCAGATATCAGGAATGACTCGTGATAAACATCGACCTTTGTCTTCCCCGTGCTGCCTCGGATGTTTGTTCCGGCTCGAAACCCGCAAAAAGCGATCTCTCAGCCGTTGTGATACCACGGGGGCAACTCTCTACTCTCGCCAAGCGACAGGCAAGACCCACTAAACGAATCTTGCCCTCATCGGTCCTTCTCGACCTGAATACGTGCTTTATATATTTTGTAGAGGTGGAAAGGGCCTGCGTCCCATTATTTATTGGATTTAATAGAAGGGCAGGCATCATAAGCGAGAACATGCACAGGCGTCCCTGCTTGTTCTCGCTGGACAAGTGAGGCGACACTGGATAGAAGTACGTGCTCGAATAAACATGTGCTTTGGAGCGGCAATACCTGCGAGCTGGAAAAAATCGATATCTCGAAAACGACAAGACAATCCTATGAGTGCCTGAGATTCATGCTTAATTGACGTATATTCATTTGATACTGGTAGGCTCGGCGACCTCCCCTCAGGAAAGGTAACATAAAAGAATCTCACTGCACATCATGTCGGACGGCAATACTATTCCGAGCAACGTGGGGACTTATCTGGCCAGGCGACTGATCAATGTCGGCATCAAGGAATATTATGCCGTGCCTGGTACGTCAAGTTACATATGTGATTCGCGACTTTCACATGTGAAGGTAGATGTCTCATCACCTCCAGAGGCAGCAGTCACTTCCTTCGAATCACACCTTTCCGTGCTGCAGCCCCACCTCAGCGTGAGAGATTCATCCATCGACTGATCGTCACGATACCACGGATTTTTTTCCTCCTTGAAACATATTGTACAGGTGACTACAACCTTTTGCTTCTGGACCAGCTCCTCTTGTTCCCCGAGCTGAAACTCATCTCTTGCTGCAATGAGCTCAATGCGGGGTAAGTCGGGTGCGAGGATTCGCGCTCCAAACGTCTTGCACCACTGACAGATTCCATCCTATCATGTTGTATTTCTTACCATCAAAATACTCGGCAATTTCACTCCAAAGATATGCCGCTGATGGCTGTGCCCGCAAAAATGGCGTTGCAGCTATGGTTGTTACGTATACAGTGGGCGGCTTGAGCGCAATCAATGCCATTGCTGGAGCATACTCCGACGACTTACCCATCATTTTCATATCTGGAGCGCCCAACTCCAACGATTATGCCTCGGACCGGATCCTGCATCACACAATTGGTAGGTTGAGGGTGCGAGTGGGACATGCGACCACGGAGGATACCGTGGGGGACTCCCCTTGTCTTCGCATTGGGACAGGCTACGTGCTTATACTGCGCTTCAGTCACGTGGACCCTGCCATCTTTCAATGGAGATCCCTCCGTCTGACCGGCCCTTAAATCCTCAATGCGCAGGCAAGATGGATCGTCGTCAGCAGATTGATATGTTCAGCCATGTGGTCGCCGAGGCGGTCGAAATCCGCTCTCCCGGTCAGGCAGCGCGTCAGATCGACCACGCGATTGTCACGGCCATGACCCAGAAGAAACCTGTGTACCTGGATGTGGCCTGCAACATCTCCGAGGAGCATGTCTCTTTACCCATCCCGTTCCAAATTCCTCCGCGCAAGCCTTCCAACGCCGCCTCCTTGCGCGCGGCCGTGCAAACAACCCTGACACAGTGGACGCATGCGGCCAAGCCTGTCATCGTCATAGGTGTGAAGGTGCGCATGGCGGAAGCTTTCGATGCTGTCATCCAACTGGCTGATGCTGCGGGCTGCGCGGTCGCAACCATGCCTGATGCCAAGGGTATGTTCCCTGAGGATCACCCCCAGTACATTGGCACGTACTGGGGGCCTGTATCGAGCGTGGGGGCGGGAGAAACCGTGGAGAGTGCAGACATGTACATTTTTTTGGGCTCGCGCTTCAACGATTACAACACCACGGGGTACACGTGCCTGATCAAGAAGAAGGGCCTTGTCACGGCGAACGTAGACAGGGTAGAGACCCCCGGGGGGGAGTATGGGTGCGTGAACATGGCGGAGTTTGCGGTCGCTTTGGCCAAGGTCATTCCGCGAAACGACGCGTCCATAAAGGCCTACACCCGAATTTTTGCGCCCGAGGCTCGGTTGGCGGCTCGGCCGGCCGAGACGCTTTTGACGATGCGATTTGTGCACGAGCAGGTCCAAAATTTGCTGACACCGAAAACGGCACTGCTCGTGGAGACAGGCGGTAAGGGAAGATACTGGTCAGATTTACAAAAAACGGTTGAGTTCTAATGACTCCATGCCTCGTGAGGCTCAAAATTTGTCTGGAGCAAGGGAGTGCGAGCGCGCTTGGATCTGTGTCGTGTAGGAGAGCCCATCACCTTTTGTCTGCTCGGAGCACGGAAACATTGAGAAAATACAGTGTATTCACGTTACGAAATGTCTCTACATCATGCATTTCAATCCCCTGCACGACAGACTCCTGGTTCCAAGGGCAAACAATGAAGCTGCCTCGTGGGTGCGGCTACGAGTTCCAAATGCAGTACGGCTCGATCGGCTGGTCCGTCGGAGCTGTGCTTGGGTATTCCTTAGCGGCCCAGCACGAAGGTCGGCGCGTGGTCGCCATGATTGGCGACGGCTCCTTTCAAATGTCGGCGCAGGAGGTCTCGACGATGATCCGCTACGGGGCCAACCCGATTATTGTGCTTATCAACAATGGGGGGTACACAATCGAGGTCGAAATTCATGATGGCATGTAAGTGCCGGGGAGGATCTGTAACAGCTGAGCTTTCATAGGAGATAGATGCTCCAGGACTGACCCGTCTCGCTGCTTGCCCTTGTTCCCTTTCCTGCCCGCCAACAGCTACAACGTGATCAAGAACTGGGACTACAAGAAGCTCATTGATGCGTTTTGCCATGATGATGGCAAGGCCCTCACCATTTGTTGTAAGACGCAGGGGGAGCTATTGGAAGCGATGGAGCAGGCAAAGACACACCCAAATTTGGTCTTCCTGGAGCTCATCCTCGACAAAGATGATTGCTCGAAGCATCTCCTGGAGTGGGGCTCTCGAGTGGCCACAGCAAATGGACGCCCATTTGTGGAGCGTTAAGTGGGTCGCATGGATACATTTTTAGATAGTCGGGGTACAGACAAGATGTGGCCCCTGAATGAGATGATTAGATTCGAAGTTGTGAAGGGGCTCCCGCTTGCCCTCCTTGTGCCGTGAATTATTATGATTGTATGACGATTGCTATGCGATGTCGTCAGATAGAGACTAGTTGAAGACCTCGATGGTGGGGCTGTTTGAATGAAAGCGCAAATTGGCATGGCATATTGACCAAAGAATGCTTTTTTGTGCACGCGCTTTCTGTGTATTTCGTGATGGACCCGGAAGTAAGGGCGTCGATCACTTCCATATTTGGAAGGCAATCCATTTTTGGAAGGCATTGCCAGAGCCTCGTGTAAATGAATTTATTTTTTGGGGATATTTATATAAAGTAAGCCGGCGAGCCGGACATTATGGTTCTTATAAGCATGATCCTCGATGTGCAAGGTCTGTTGGCGGTAGGACTTTTTCGGGGGAAACGTACGCAAGATTTATTTGGGAAAAGGATTTCGATATAGGTGGACTTCAACGTGCTCAGAGTCAACTCTCTACACAAGCCACTCCATATGTCGAAAAGCAATGGAATTACCTCTTGAGCAAACTCTACGAAGATTGTTGTATCTCTCATTGGAGAATGTCGAGTTTCTACGATGTTTGAGCCTCCTATTTCTTTTGTTTAATGGACGCCCTCGTTCCACTTTGAGGCTTGCATCTCGAAATTTTTGAACGCGTGAATGAAAATATCGTTGCACAGGGAAGTTTGCAAGGCATTTCAAAAGCGGCGAAGGGTCCAATCTACAATTTCGGTTCAGATATCATAGCTATTAAGCATAGACATCATTTTTTTCTCTAAATAGATGAAACTTGGAAACTTGGAAGTCATCGTGTATAGCAAGGACCTCCGAACAGATCTGCCAAATGCCGAACCACTTGCTTTGAAGTTTTGAAAACAGATTTTGAATGCAACGGTTTTCTTCCATTGTACGCTTTCACTGACTTCAGTATGCCTTATGCGACAAAACCTGTTTTTCATTGCATACAATGACAATTATCGTGCAAATAATCTTCTTAATAAGGTCGAGTGCTCATACATCGCGCATCCCTACACCGCGGTAGTAATTTGCAACGGTGGATGCCATCCCCTCGATCAACCCGTAGCAGTCCAAATAAAACATTCCAGAGCTCCATATCACTTGGAAGCATCAAAAAGAGTACATCGCGCGTAGACCTTTCATTACAATGCGCTTATCACACAATAAACGAGTTTGCATTAGTTCCCTAAGTCAGGACCTTTGTGTCCATATAGTAGCTTTCTTGCGTCCTCACGACGTAAACAAGCTTGGACAGGCTTCAAAGATTTTTTTATTCCAAAAAATTATGCGATTTCATAGCCTACATTGATGGGAAATTGCGTTTTCCGGATAGGCTTGTCAATAAATTACGCTTACTGAAACGCCTAGAGGTATTAAATTTGAAAGGGAACAAGTTGAGCAACGAGGGCAGCTGGGCTTTGTCAAAATTCTTGGCACTACCCTCCAGTGCCTCAAGCCTTCAGCGACTTGATCTTTCAGGACTCTTTCTGACACCTTCGGGCATCACTTTATTGGCAAAGAGTCTCGCCACTACTACTGACGAGAGCTATAGATCCACAAACGGGGGACACAGGCGTGACAAGCGCCACAAATGCTCGGGATCACCCCTGCAAGCAGAGTTTTCGCAGAGCTTTTTAAGCATTGATACAACAGCCAGCTATAGTGAAAATTGTGTGGGTATCACTCCTGGAATGACTACGTCGCTATCCTCTGCATACTTCTCCAAAAACCTTGAGCCACAGAAGCCACTATTGCTTCGAGAGTTAACATTAGCTATGAATACCATTGGCGATAGCGGTATTGATGCCCTATGCGATCTCTTAGAAAGTGGAGATTGCCAACTGCTTCAGTCTCTAGACCTTCGAAATACGGGTATCGGCCTGCGAGGTGTTCTCCACTTAGCGCGAGGATTGGCTCGTTGTCCACTCCTTACCATGTTGAGCCTATCTAACAATCCGTTGGATGTATTATACGACAATCAAGTGCAAAGTTACTCCCCGGACTCGGTCTTACATGGCACAGAAGAAGTCGGCACGGGAACAAATAGCGTATTATCAGCTCCTACTGACTTCTCTCGTAAAGCATGGAGCGCTTTGGGACGGGCGTTGCCCTTGTCACTGCGACACCTCAATCTCTTCAACACCACTCTAAATAGCATGGTAATGCATCGATTAGTTTTGAACTGGCAAATTCCGTCCTTGGTGCATCTCAATGTAAGCCACAACTCCATCGGGTCGGAGGGAGCGCGCCTGCTTTTTCGCAGCCTTGTGAACATGTCCTGTGCAAGGATTGAGCATCTAAATATTTCGCATAACAACATCCGTCAAGATGCATTGGTCGCTATATCGAAATTTGCCTCTACTAAGTCAGTGAATCAGAAATTGCGGCATCTCGATCTCAGCTACAATCCATTCGGCGTCGAGGTCTTAGCGAGTGCAAGTAACGCCCAAAGCGCACATGCGGAAGAGCATCACCCCCTATGTGCCTTTTCCATGGCCCTGGCTAGCTGCCCTTCTTTGGAGCATCTCGATCTTCGGAAAGTAGACTTAGATGAGAACTTTGCCAGCTTTGCGGAGGGCCTGAAGAAAGCCCTGATACTGGACTCGGCGGGCTCCTGCACGTGGAGACACTTGGACATATCGTGGAACAGGATTGGCGAGAATGGTGCCCGTTCAATCGCTGGGCTCTTCCAGCCATCTTTTGAGAAGAGAGATGAGCAGCAGGTCATTTTTTCGCGATTGAACTTGCTCAATTTACTGCGCACTGGCATTGGAAGACAAGGGGCCAAGATGTTGGCCGATGTGTGGAACTGGTGGGACGCTGATGAAGAGAGGCAAAAGAAAAGGGACGCATCACCCCGCTTGCTGGTCGCTATCGACATCGAAAACGCACCCGACGCGTCCGGTGCCTTGTATGTGGAGGCGTCTCGACTCTGGCACATCTTGCAGCGGCACTAGGAGCCATCTTCCAAAGGGATCCCAAGCCGCCCTATGGTTCCTGCGGCGAGTCCTCATGCCTTGCTGTCTGTAGTAGTGCTGAGCCATGCCAAATTTCATTGGGCTGCCTCGATCCGTTCTACTTTCATGGCACGTCTGACTGGACTGTTTTGCCTTCAATTTGCGGGGCCTACGTGTGGTATCTGAGGCATGAAGTTTGATTTATCATTCCCGGCAGGCGCGAGGGCACTTGATAGCGGAAACGAAAAGTATGACTTTGCCAGGCACACATTTCATAGCTTGTCTTTGGAAGGGGCGATCTGAAAGGGACTGGCTCAGTTCAGGCTGACACGTATGGATCATGAGAACAATCCTCGAGAATACACACGCACACCCTTTGTGAAATAAATCTGGGACTCGAACGGAAAACCGGCTTGGATTTCGAGCAGAAAGTAAATAAAAATAGATCTGCAGGAAGATACACTGAAGTTTATATTTACATTGATGTCACATATGATTGCTATTCCCTTGCTCTGCTCACGAAAGAGATACATAACCGTATGATGTGCCCCATTTCATGCGTCTCAGCACCGTTCCTTCTCTTTCGCCCGCTCCTTCATGGCTAGCAGACCTCGTCTCTAGGTCGCTTTCACATGACTCGCTGCGGGATTCAACGCTCGTTTATCTTCTGTCACGCTCAGTTTCAAACGCATCACGAACCAGTGCGACAGTTGCCTCACCGCTCTCCTCTTCTTCCATTTTCCCGCTCCCTCTTGTTTCCTCCTTATAGTCCTACCCGGCTCCCTCTTCCTTTGATACATTTTATCCATCCTTCTCCACTTACTAGGCGGCGTGGTAGGGACCAAAACAAAAGCCAATAGAAGCAATCTCGGTTTGACGCTCATCTCAATGGCAATCCCCTCGTCACTCCATCGCCATCACTGAATTCGTGGTCATCGATCCAAAGTCCCATCTTCATCGCTATCGTAATCAAACTGACCCGGTGGGTAGAAATCCGTCCTCGACACATGTGCTACATCTACATCCTCCTCTTCATCGTCGTCGTCGTGGAGGCATCGGGCGCACAGGCCCCCTTCATCCACCTCCCAATGGCAGTTCAGGCAGCGGTACACACCGTCAGACTCATCGTAGTTGAGATGAGTGCTTCCATCCATCTCTGCATTTCTTATTGTACGCGGCCGTATTCTTCTGGAGGAATTCAGCCCGACAGCCCCCTCGCCCATGCGCTCTGCAGCCTCGAACATGACTTTCAACTCGGCCATCTGGCCTTGGTACGCCGCACGGGCACGGCGAGCAGCAATGGCGGTAGCAGCTGCAGCTTTTTTGCCTCCATATCCCTATCCTCCTGCGCCTGCCCCGACGGGCCAGCACGATCCAATAGACCTGCAGCAGAGCGGTCGTCATCCTCTCCTATCTCCTCATCATGTGACTTCATCATGCTTACCCCTTCCTTCCATCTTTCCAATTTGATTTTCTCTCCTACTTTGCGTTCACTTTCTTCTTCGCTTCTTCTCTGACTTTCTGCTTTTGCGTCAATTCTATATATACCTCCCTCGAGACTTTGTCCTGGGTCTGCGCCCGTCCTTACCGCCTCTTGTTGTCGCCGCTTCGCAACCTTTATCGCGTCTAAATGTTGTATGAAGGCGAGAGGCGGTGGTAGCGGTGCCTTATATACTGTTGTACGACACGCAGGACATGCTATGTTCCCAGTAGTTTTCCATTTGGCATACATGTAGAAGCACTGACAGCAGAAGAGGTGCCGACACTCCTGCAGCTCTACAGGATAGTCAACGCATTCCAGGCAAATAGAGCATGCTGGTATGTCACCTAATGCAGCGTCAAGCTTCTTGCGTAGTAGTTCAACCTCCGCCCGCAGAGCCTTAATCTCTGTTTGACAAGCACCGTGGAGGACTCCGTCATCTGCAACGCGTGGCTCATACTTTGGCAAGTCACCACTCGTGGACACTACTGGAGGCTTCTCTCCACCATGCTTCACTGAAGTCGCCGTGTTAGCACGACAGCAGTCTGTCGCTACAACAGCAGCATGAACATCGGGACATCTTGGTGACAAAAGCCCCTTTCGCTTAATCGTCATACTTGTCGTAAGTGCCCGTCTGATATATAGGTAATTTCACGAGCGTCAGACTGAGGAAAGAAGTCGTCAATCGGCAATAAGCAGACACCACAGAAGGCTCTACGCGGCTACACATATTCTTGTATGGCAAGCCAAGTTTTGTTTTTTTCGGGGGGCTCCGGGAGCTTCGGAAAATAGGGGTAACTCGTTTGATCGACCGTCAATACTTGCTCCGCAAACGAGAAGCACAGGGTTGGTGGATACCGTCATTACTATCCAATACCCTGCAGAACACTCACAAAGACCAGGCCCCATTCACGCAAAAATGAGAGAGGGCTGAGGTGTACACAAAACACTTGGGTAACCAAGTTTGGGACCCAGTGCCCGGAGCGCGACCCCGGCGCCTCTGGAGCGAGTCCTGTCAGCTGGCGCGCATCTCTCGTCGATTCTTCCTAGTCGCTTTCCTATATCACTCATACCATATACCACGCGAGTCCTCTCATGATTCTTGACCGTTGATTATGCTCTCACCATACTGGTCAACAGTTTCCCATGATCATCCAGGCCGGCGCCGTCAAGGTCTTAGCCAAAGATGTGGTTTCTATTGCTAAGACGGCTGGAGATGCCATCATGTCTATATACGCCTTCCCGGACACTGTTAGCTGGGACGTTAAGGCAAAGTCCGACAACTCTCCCCTGACCGCTGCTGATCTTGCTGCCAACAACCTGATTTGTGCCTCGCTCAAGGAAAAGTATCCTTCGATTCCCATCGTTTCCGAGGAAAACAAAATGCTTCCGTATGAAGAACGAAGCAATTGGCCTTTCTACTGGTGCGTTGACCCCCTGGACGGAACGAAGGAGTTTCTAAAGCGGAACGGCCAATTCACGGTAAACATTGGGTTATGCCAGGGGAAGTCCCCCATATTTGGGGTGGTACACGTGCCAGCTATGGAACCGGCTAAGACGTACTATGGCGCGAAAGGCCACGGCGCCTTTGTGGAGATCGCGGATGAGCCACCAATTCCCATCAAGGTGAAAGAATTCAGTGAAAAGGATCCAAACTTGGCCGTCGTTGCCTCTGCTTCACACAATACCCCCGAAACGGAGAATTTTATAAGCAAGTACCAGAACCCGACTCTTAAGGCGCTAGGATCTTCTTTAAAGCTTTTGATGGTAGCCGAGGGAGAGGCGCACGTCTACCCCCGGTTGGCACCAACCTGTGAATGGGACACCTGCGCCTCACACGCGGTGGTGGAGGCGGCAGGAGGAGAGGTTCTGCAAGCGGAAGGAGGCAAGGCATGCCAGCCCGGACTGCCCGTGGAGTATAACAAGCCGGACGCGTTGAATCCGTTTTTCATTGTGTACGGCAGACGCCGGGACTGAAAAGAGCTCCGCATAGATGTGTCCACGGTACAAGTGCGATAGCAGAGTGAGCTAGAAAGGAAAATTTGCAAGCTGGGCTCGACATGTTGGTGAGCTGTAGGGTGCTGGAATAGGAAAAGGTCACGGTGATACATGTTTTATGTGATGGCAACCGCGCAGCTTCTGGAATATTCGGGTGAGTGGAAGGAGTGAGACTAACTCTGCGTCACCATCAGAAGGAGGAACGAAAGTACTCGTATTGCCAGCCTTATGCCTCAAGAAACTAAACAATAGGCGATTACCAAAAGGGTCTACAACGACTCGAATAATGCGGCACTTTATTTGTTAAATTGGTTACTCGATACGACCTGTCACATTTAAGGCGTGTTTCTGGCCCCCACGGGGCCCTCACCTCGTCTCTTCGTTCCCCTCATCCACACTTTCCCTCTCCATCGTCCGCCTCCCGTCTCGCAGGCACGCCTGTATCTCTTCCAACCTGGTTTTGACAAGCTCCACATTGTCGTCCCGTTCCGTCAGCACCAAAAGCCGCTCACAGACCACGGCGGCGTCCTCGTACCTGTGCGCTTCGATCAGGGACAAAGACAAGCCATTCAGCATGCGCCGCTCCATTTGCTCCTCCTCCAGCTCCTCCAAAAGCCGACAGCAGAGCCGGTAAGCGAGGATGGACTCGTCGCACCTCCGCAAGTCCTTGAGTACAGTGGCATAGTTCCCCAGGGCCCGGGCCTCGACCATCCGTGTCCCATCCCCCGAGGAAAAGGACGCCAGGCGTGCCAATTGCACGACCCGGCGAAATTGGAGCGCCGCTTCTTCCCAGCATTTCTCCCTGTACCACCTGCGCCCTTGCTCCAGCTCCTGGTCGAGCATGCCGGGCGTCACGTCTTGCCAGAAATCGTGCTCGAGGGAAAGGCGCTCGAATTCCCGCAGAAGGCGGCGTCGGTCCCCCGCGTCGTCCGTCAAGGCCACCAGCTGCTCAAAGTGCTCCAGTACCAGGGCAAAGGCCCGCACGGACAAATAAAACTGCGCGAGTTGGTTGTGCACGTACCGAAGGGACGGGAAATACTTGCGCAAGTCCTCGGAAAGGGGTGCCTGCTGGAGGAGTCGCCGCCCTGCCCGGACGCTGAGCTCGTACCAGACGCTGGCCTCCTTCATGAGACCCATCTCTTGCAGCACGGTACCTTTCACCTTCGCCGCGCGCGCCTGCATCCTCGCCTCCTCCACGCTCGTGGTCTCAGTGCTTGCCATCCCCAGCACGTCGTCAAGGAGGCAGAGGGCGTCCTCGAACCTCCCACACGCCGTGTTCAGCATGGCGCGGTTGAGGAGCGTTGCGGCTTCGCCCATCGAGGACACTGAGGACATGGTGTGCAAGAGCCGAAGGCGCTGGCGCATCTCAATCTCGGAGGGCTCGTGCGTCTCTCTTTCCGCCTCTTCTTCTTCTTCTTCTTCCTCGTCCTCGTCCTCCTCGTCCTCCTCGTCCTCCTCGTCCCCTCCTCCTC